TTGAGAACTTCTTTGCGGTATTTTATTTCGAAGTCGAACTGTTGGAGATAAATACTCCATCGAGCTAATCTACCGGACGGACTTTTCATTGAATGTAGCCATTTCAGGCTTTGGTGGTCGGTAACAACGGTGAAACGGTAACCCTCCAGGTAGGGGCGCATTTTCTCAATACCCCACACTATTGCAAGGCATTCTTTTTCGGTAACGGAAAATCTCTTTTCCGCGGGACTCAAACTACGGCTTGTATACGCAATGACATGATCGCCATCGGTACTATGTTGGATTAATGCCGCACCTAACCCATTATCGGATGCATCTGTTTGCAACACGAATGGCTTCGAAAAATCGGGACAAGCCAAGATTGGGGCTTTGGTGAGGTGATTTTTAAGAGTATCAAAAGCCGTTTGCTCAACATCGGTCAAAATCCATCGGATGCCCTTTTTAAGTAGGCGGTTAAGTGGGCTAGCTATTTGAGAAAAATTCTGTACGAATCGGCGGTACCACGAGGCTACTCCCAAGAAGCGTCGTAAACCACGGATACTGGTTGGAGCTGGTAGTTCTCGGATTGCCGCTACTTTGTCTGGATCCGTACGGATTCCTTCGGAAGTGACAAGGTGTCCCAGATATCGGAGGGAACGTTTTCCAAATTCACATTTATCCGGATTTAGTCGTAAATTGGCCGCTCTAAGACGTCGGAAAACTTCGGTTAAATTGTTCAGGTGCTCTTCAAAAGTTTCGCCAAGGATTATAATGTCATCCAGATATGCAAAGCAATAACTATCTAGTTCTGGGCCTATAATGCTGTCCATTAACCTCTGGAATGTAGCGGGGGCGGAGTGTAACCCAAAAGGCATTACTCGAAACTGGTATAGACCCATTCCTGGCACAGTGAAAGCGGTAATCGGTTTACTTTTCTTGGCAAGCGGAATCTGCCAGTATCCTTGTTTAAGGTCGATACCAGAAATATATCGGGCCCTTCTTAATTTGTCCAGTATGGAATTAATAAACGGGAGAGGGTAAGCATCCTTTCGGCTAACGGCATTTACCTTTTGGAAGTCAATGCAGAAACGGTGTTTCCCATCCTTCTTTTTCACAATGACTACGGGTGAACTCCAGGGGCTGTCGGACGGTTCAATGATCCCATCATCCAGCATCTTTCGTACTTCGGTGTTAATTATTTCTTGCATTCTGGGATTCTGAGGACGGTACCTCTGCTTAATTGGATCGGAATTAAGTAAATTAATAGAATGTTCTACTAACGGGGTAGTGCCTTTGATTTTGTCAAACTTCGGCAACTCGTGGTCCAGGAATTTCTTCAATAGTACTTCTTCGGTGGACGTTAATTCTAGGTTCGGCGGAATATCTATCGGGCCAATCGGACTACATAAAGTAGGAAACGGTAAAAGACAGTTGTTCAAATAAATCTCGCCACTGCCCAAATCCAGATGGAATTTGTGTCGACTCGGAAAGTAGCTGATGGTTTCGGTCAGTGTAATGTTTCCGAGCTGTAACGGTATTCGGTAAGCTGTAGAAATGTTGATTACACCCCCATTGGCCACTTTGGCACTTCGGACCTCAGGTTGTACATCGGAATAATCACTGAGACGGCAGATATCGGCAGCGAGGTCCCCTATATACGAGTTGGCGGCAACGGTATCGATTAAAGCTAAGAACGGGGCCTCTTCGATGTAAATGCATACATGCGGTCGGGAATCTGGTAGACGAATCGGGTTCACACCTGTCGGAAAATATGGATGTCTATTCGAGGTTATCAGTTTACGGTGCTGGGCTGACCTCGGACTAGGACCGCACCTTTTTAGTTTCCCGAACGGGAACGGTCACATGGGCAGTCTCGGGACATTATACCCTGTTTTCTGCAACGGGAGCAGAATAATTTTGCAGTACCTCGGCATTCTGTTCTGAAGTGTCCAGTTTCTCCACACTTCCAGCAAATCACTGATTCGGATTGGTTGTTCGGTCTAGAATTCCGTTGGTACGATTCGGTTCTATTAGTTCTTTCGGCTCTTCGGTTTTGTTCCCAGCCTCTCACTGGTGCTGGGTTTGTCGACGGGTTTTGGGTAACAGAAATGCCGGCTGGTGAACGGTGGGTACTTCTAGATGTTGACGGGGTTGCCTTTAGTTCGGACAAAAGGCTTTCGATTTCCCTTAGGGTGCGGGAAAATGAAACAACATCGGTATTGTCGCTTTTCCGGATATGTTGTCGGTATTCCGGTAAAAGGTTTCTATACAACCACTGAAGCTCCTGATCTGGAGTTATGCTTCCATGCCTTCTGATAAGGGTTTGCAAGTCTGTAATATACCGGTGGGTTGGCTAGTCTGTAATATACCGGTGGGTTGGCTCGTTCGGCTGTTGGAGCCGGCGGCTAATTTCAATCTCCAGATCGGCGGCATAGTTGATCGGAAAATAGAAGCTGCGGAAATCCGTCAGAAATTCGTCCCAGGTATTCCAGTGAGCTCGGTTATTTCGGTACCATAGGGATGCATCACCCTGTAAAAGTTCTGGAATATGCGGTAGTAATCGGTCTATCAGTATCCCCTGGGAGGCACAAATTTCCTGTAGCCTCTCTATGAAAGTTACCGGATCGGTTCGTCCATTAAAATGGATATTCCATTTATGTACTTTCAGTGCCATTCCCGGAGATCTGTATGCGACTGGAGAAGGTAGCGGTTGGTGAATGGTTATAGTCGGTATCGGCGGATTAAGCACCTGAGTTGTTCCGGGTGCACCAGTATTAGCAGTACTGGTTTGAGTCAGGGCAGCGGTACTATTTGCCTGAGTCGTATGCGTGCTGGAATTAGTCGGAAAGATAAATCCTGCCATGGTGGTCGGTGCTGGTGAAGCTTTTCCTTGGCGGTAGAATGTTACTAATCGCCTTTTCAATGTTTCAACGGTACCTGTAGTGTCCAGTCCAAACTTTGTTAGTTCAGGAATCAGTTCATCTTTCTTTAGTAGATAAACCCAACTCACACGGCCATCGTTGGGATCGTACCAAACGGGGTAAGTGGTTATTGGTACATTAACGGACGGGCTTACGGGACTGGTTGTAACCACTGTAGAGGCAGTGGTATTCGGTGTACTGGTAACCGGTGGGTTTTCAATTTGGAGTGTCGGTGGTCGGAGCTAGAAAGTCTTTCTAAGAAATCAGGTGGTCGGTTGGAGCGAAATTCTCCAAGTGGTCAAGTGATCAGGTTTACGGTCTGGCGGTGAGTTTTTATTTTAGATGTTGCTCCTTCGAGCGCTCGGTCGGTTATGTTTCGGAAACGGTTTATTAGATGTTGCTTCTTTGAAGGCTTGGTCGGATCTCTTGGAACGGTTTAGTAGATGTTGCTCCTTTGAGCGCTCGGTCGGTTCTCTCGGAACGGTTTAGTAGATGTGGCACCTTTGAAGGCTCGGACGGTTCTCCCGGATCGGATTAATAGTTGTTGCTCCTTTGAGCTCTCGGTCGGTTCTCTCGGAACGGATTAATAGATGTTGCACCTTTGAAGGCTCGGACGGTTCTCCCTTGAATCGCGTGATGATTTTAATTGTATGTTGCTTCAAGACAGTGGGGACATATTTACCATCAAAAGTTGGTGGGAAGATGAGGGCTAGTACGCACACTCCTCTCTCACGGTTTACTAATCGGTAAATACGGTAGATCCTCGGAAATATTACGAAATATGGCAACCTAACAATCGGTACTATTCTAGTAGTAGAATGAGATTCGGCAACCTTGATTTAGTCGGAAAGATGGTGTAGCTCGGTTTTCATACTTGCGCATGCGCAAAATGAATCGGGCGGGAGAGCGGTTCGGTATAGGTTGATCGGTTTTCGGAGAGCGGGCTTCGTGAAAAATGGCGGCGGACGGTTGGATTGTGTCTCACTACATCAGGAAGAAAATTTACAGATAGAGAAACTGAAATCAGCTACCGAGGATTACTGGTAAAGGAGCGGTGGCTCGAATTTTGGTCCACGCATGCGTAACAATACTTCCCAAAAACGGAGGCCTCCGGTCCAATGCGGTACGGTGTACAGGAACTCTTTTCCACGGTCGGTCGGACGGCATTGGTTAAGACCCTCAACTCATGGGGCGGATGATAGGCACGCGCGGAACGGTCCTAAAAGGAGCGGTTCATTTGCTCCGGCGATATGCGGTCTGGCAATCACCAAAAGAAACGGTACGGTAACGGACAACCAACGGTCATCGCCAAAACAAACGGCCTCTCGGTGTAACGGGACTGGTGATGACGTGATCAACTCGGTCATGTGCTGAAATCATGGACATGCGCAGAACGGTCTAAGCGGTCAAAGCGGTCAAAACGGCTGTCAAAAAGGCGGTCCCTGCTCGGGCGCCAAATTTGTAGCGCTACTTTGGTTTTCCGGTGAAAAGCGGTCGGTTCGGGGTTTTCGGAAAACTCGGGCGCCACCCTTAGGATTAAAGTGGTTAAGGGCCCACGTGCACTAGGTAGCTTTTAAACAGTGGAGACAGAAAACCAGAGGTCAATATGCGCATCCTCAAAATGAAACACAGAATCCAACTCACAAATTAAAGTTTTATTTGCCCAATAACATAAGACAAAAGGAACAGTGCAAAATGCAATTAAATGAGAGACGAAGAGCGGGGAGAGTGGAACGAAGTCGGTGAGAAGAATGTGTAAATACTATGTACGGGGCGGAGACTCGCGGTAATAAGATCGCGGAAAAATAACGGTATTGGTCAATAGCATTGCGGAAAAATAACGGTTTCGGTAAATAGCTCCAAGGAATAATTGATGCTAGGCTGCCGTGCTCCTACCACCTTCAGCTCGTATTCCAGGCGCATGCGCGAACTATGCAATTTTTAACTAATTGAATGACCGGGATGCACGGAAAATTTAGTAACCTTCGTTACACTCTCTTCGTTCCTTTCCTGGTTCATGTACCTACTTCTGGAAAAAAGTAAATAAAATACAATCTCGAGAACAATTAAGAATTGTGGGTTCTACTTTACCTGCAATTATTAAGTCGTAGTTTGGTGTGGATGCCACAGGTGGTACAAATAGGATTGGGGCCTCCTGTAACACATCGTCCAGCGATTATTGCCTGTCTAAAGAAAAAAAAATTAACTAACTATTTTAAAGAAGTTTCATGTATTTACCTTCTGTCAAAATTAGGCAGTCCTGGACATCCGTATCACCCAGATGAATCCTACTTCTTAACAGAGAGAGGAGCTGCTCTTCGAGAGATGTTAACTTTTTGGTGCTTGGAACACCACCCCCTGTTTTTTGAAGGCTCATGCTTATTTCCCTGCATTTCCTTCTGGTGTTTGTTTTCCATTCATTGAATATCCAGAAAAATTTTAAAATTATATTCCATGCGAATTTCAAGTGGGATTTCATTGACCTAATTTGCATAATTTGTCTTAGAGGGACAAATGAAGAACTATACCAATCAGAATAATAAATAAATATGAATACTCACACGTCTCCATTGCTCTGCACTTTTTTCAGGCCCAATCCCTTGGGAATTTATGGAAGTGGCAAATTCCTGCCACAGATTTGCCACTCTCTTCTGGTCCACTAGTGTTGTCTTGCCAGTGAGGACTACTTTATTACTTTTGAAAAAGTCGAGTAGTTCCTGATATTGGAGAAGAGTCGTTCTAGATAATATTTTCGCCATCACTGAAGCCCGTCTTCACAGTTGTTTAACAAAATAAAACTCGCCGCGTGCTATTACTTTGAAGGTTTATTTTAGAATGAATCCATAAGAAAAATGTCGTTAGGAGCTTAATAGCACTTCTTGGAGGGGCGACGTAGGTGCCTCCCAAAAGGGACATACCTGCCTTGACCCTTTTGCTCATGTTTAGCTTGATTGAGTTAGTTTGAAATCGAAATTATAGCAAGTTCACAGAAATAAGCATAATTAAGAAAAATATTTATTCAGGCTTTTGGGACAGGTCGGCCGTCAGGTAAACGAAATTGATTATATTGGCCTGGGTCAAACAATACAAATTAAATTTTCTGTGAATTAAATTCATAGATTAAATTTTTGTTTTTCAGGCTCAAACAAAACAACAAACAAAAACAAAATATATAGGTTATTGTAACCGATCAGGGGCGCCTTCTTCAAAATTTTAACACTGGAGACAACAACCAACCGACTGCGATTGCGCAGAACTTGTCGACTCAAAATTAATTTCTTTTTCAACAGCCAGCCGAACGGAGCCCGTTCAATCATACCGATTTTAAGGTCGCATGTTAATCCGGTCCCAGACACTACGTGTATTCGGCGAATATTCGGTATTCGAGTTTATTCGCGTAGCGTGTGGGAGGGTAACTTTGGCGAATATTCGTCGTTCGTCATTTTCCCGCCGATTGTCGGTAAACTGGCACGAAGCAAAGGAAGGCGAAGTGACGCGAAGTCCACTACGTGTAACTTCGCACTGCTCCCAGACGCTTCGGGGGTATATGCATAGTGTTTTGTCAGTTTATAGCGGTGTGCAGTGCCGCAAGGTTGATTTTTGCATTTCTAGTTATTTTTAATTAAAATAAGAAATGGAGTGGACCAATGAATTAACGTTAGAATTATTACAATTATTTGAAAATGAACCTGTCATTTGCAACCCAAAGATACCAGAGGTGTTTTCTGGCCTCTCAAAGTTTTGAAACATTTTTTAAAACTGGTTCAAAACAGTTTCACAATGACGTCATAACTTCTTTTGCGCGAGAAAATTATTTGAAAACGTAGATTGGATTATATTTCGAATCGGTTTGAACCAATTTTGTGTGAAATCATGGGTTCATCGCGAGATATACTATTTCAAACCTGTTTTGAACCAGTTTCAAAAAAGTGAACGTGAGTAAACAGCTCAGATCTGCCGAAAATGACAGAAGTAGCGGCGGCAACAATCTGCTCTTCATCAATGTGCATTTGAACTAAATAAACGTCATGCATGAAACGCCACTGAAAATCGACGGCCGTCTGCTTGGAAACTTCGCCGAACAATTGTCAAGCCAAAGCTTCGCCATACCACAACGCCGTGTGGGAGACTAGGCAAATATTCGTGCGAATTAACGAATATTCGCCTATTCGCCGAATACACGTAGTGTCTGGGACCGGCTTTAAGGTGGCTGTTAACTCATCTGCTGTTAGCTAACGTAACACATCTTCTGTTGAGTTAGCGTAGACGTTCAATCATAGGGCCCAATTTCTCGTGCAGGATAACAGCAGGATTTATACATTTTTATGTCCTGACGTTTTGCGTTGACGATTGTTGTTTATGCTCCAGCTACTTGCCCAGTGTAAATTCACCTTTAGTCTGAGCATTCAAGCTCGAATTCAACGAGGTTGTTTTTGGTTGCCATGAAACTTAAAATATTATTAGCAATTGTTCAAATAAATTTTGAGACTTTTAAATTCTATTGTGCCAGAAGCGGTTTTTAGAGTTAAGAAAATGGAAGAAATTGATGGGAGATTGTTATGACAAGGTGTGAAGAGTTTTTGAAAAATGGGTGGATTCAAGAAAGATCAAAAGAATTGACGAAAGCGTTTTGCTGGCTTATTTTTTACATTTATAGAAAAAAATTTGCTCCATCGTCTTAATGGACTAAATACTCCATGCCTCGCTCGACCCTTCATCTATAGGTATAAGAAAAACGACTTTTCAAAATATGGCAAATTAACTAGTTTCTTGAAAAGTAAATCTCAAGGATACAAAACCAAGAAGTTCAAGACTTTGGAAAGAAATTAAATCGAAACCTTTCTACGACAGGCCCCCGACAGTGAGTATTTACTAATGAGAGTAGCTTTGACTATGAGGATTACTGGAGCTTTTAGATGTGATGAGTTAAAACATTTAAAAATTGAAAAAATGTTTAAGATAAAGGAAATTATTTATTTATTGTGTTGCCAGACACAAAAACTGAAAAATCAAGAAGTTTTACTATTCTTAAAGAAGGATTTTCAGTAAACCCTGTTGATTTGTGTGAAGAAATACATTTCCTTGCGATCAAGAAGCACCAGCCACAACTGCTTTTTTGTCTTTCATAAAAATGTGGGTATAAATATCATGAAAAAATACCCTCAAAAATTGCTGCGTATTTAAACCTAAAGGATCAAGAACTATACACCGTCCATGGGGGATGGAAATTAACATCATTAGCGCAGGGCTACCTTAAAGAATCTGTCCAAAACAAAATTGAAATTGCCGAGAAAGTTCAAGGGATCAGTAAACAGTCAAGCAATTGTGTCGGCCTAATAGAACCATCGATCTCAGCTTCCAATGGAAACATGGACAATTTGACAATATCCAGTTCATCTAAGACTGTAATTTTCACGCAGAGGGTCATCCACAAAATATCTTGGTCCCGAACCAGCTCTCGGAGTGCCGAAAAGCACAGTAAGAAAGGAGCTGAAGGAGTGGATCGAATCAAAACATACTCAATACTGGAAGCAAATACCCAAGCAAGCATACACACGAGAAAATCTTCATATACGTGAGACATGTGGCAATAGAGCAGAAAGACTGCTACAACTAAGAAGGAATCAACTCGAAGTAGCAAACGGCTTTCTCACTGGGCATGCCCCAGTGAGGAAGAATCTGCAAACAATGGGTTTGTACAACGAAGACACAAGCTGCAGACTATGCGGAACAGAGACCGAAACAGCCCAACACATTATATCAGAACTCAAGGCCCTAACTCGCAGAAGACAAAATATATTTGGAGAAGATGAACTAGATCCAGACCTAAACATTACTACTACTAATATAAGCTAACAAAATGTGTGAAAATCAGTTGGATAAACATTCAAATTTAATGCAACGCTATCAGTTCAATCAATTCAGTGCTATCCCTAAAATATGTTGGGAAGTGCCTTTGTCCATCCAGAACGGCTCCAGAAACAATAGTTTAAGTAAGTACGGAAAGAAACAATTTATTTAATTTTATTTTATTTGATTTTTTTTTTGGCATGAAAAGTGTTATTAGATCACAAAATATATATTGTTGCACTAAGTGCTGCTTGAAAAAGGAAAAATTTATCCCGAAACGTTGCCAAAAGCTTGACAGTTTCATCTTTTTTGGTCCTGTCCTCTAACCCACGAAAATAAAACATATCTTCACAATGACACGAAATGATAGCAGTATACATTTCCAAAATTTAAAATTTTCATGCCTAAGCTAGAGGTAAGTGATATCGTGCTCACCACCTATATAATATAATTATTCAAATTGCTACACAAAATCGCTTCACTGTGACCATCCTTATTGATACCGCATCAGGTAGGCATAATAGTTTCCATAAACTATCCGGATCGGCTATATATTTTGTTCCGCACTGAAAGGGGCGATTACCATTACTATTAGAGACGCATTCATAGAGGTGGTGCATGCCTTATATCGATCGCGGTCGCTCTCGCCTTCCATCTAAACATTAATAACCGTAAATCAGTTGCAATATTATTACCGCCCGATGAACCAAGCCGTCCGCTTTATACCTGGGGGTTAATTGAATCTAAATTACCATAAAGGGAGGTCAACTTTAGACCTGTCTCCCCCCGATGTATACAAATTCTGCCCTTAACACCTGCGGATCGCGTAAATTAAAATAACATCACATTCGAGGAATTTTGATTTGCATAACCCTGAGATCGAATTAAAACATTCAAAACAGGATTTATTGTTTATTAAGGAAACACCTATATGACCTAGTGTTCAACTAGCTTGAGCTATTGTATTGAAAAAAAAGTTCTTATAATTTGCGCTTAACATTTTGAGCAAACTCTATGCATAGGTATATCTGATAGCACACTGAGCAGTGCCAAAATGATACGATTAATTTATATTAACTATTTCAGTTGCCTCTATGTGCCTTCTAACTTTGCTTTGATACAGTAGCGTATGTATACACAAATTAGCTACCTGTAAAAGCTACTCATGAACGTTCGCTTTGGGAATTCTGCAGTCAGTGGGTCGATGATGATGAAGTCGGAAATGGAAAACATAACGGGAAATTACAGAGAAACAACAATGGGGTCAATGGGGAGAGCCAGCAAAAGATACCAGCACTTTCTATAGGTATTCTTGGTTTTTAGAACCCCTAAAAGTC